CTGTATTTAGATTGAAATCGGTTTTGAGAACGGATGCTCGTACGCACTTAGACCTCACATTTGACCCTCTTGTACTAGCCCCCTGTGAAAACAGTTGTCCAGCTCTACAATTTCTCAATGAGCGTGTCCCATGGGCCACGATCCCTTCCAGTTGGAATGAAAGATCTCTTCGGTCTGCTTGCACTGGGTCTGTATGTCCTAGACGGTGTTCGAAGGGCAAACTTAGGATTTAAAATCATACGTTCATTTTATTTTATTTTGCCTTTATTTTTGAGTGGGCGGGGTTTCAGCCAAGGCTGCTCTACCAACCCAACCCACTATAGTGTATATCTTAAAACTGTTCCCCCAGTTTTTGCCGCTTTTCTTAAAATTTTTTTATGGGAATAACAGTCCAAAAAATTTTCCCATTTTTTATTATAAAACAGGCTATGTTTACTCCAAATTTCAAACCCCTACGACTATTTTTCGCAAAAATAAGAATAAAAATCGAAAAAAAAAATTTCTGGTTTTTCTAGGAAAATTGGAGGTTATGTGTAAATAGCGCAGATACAAAAGTTGTTCATTTTTATATTGAACATTTTCGCCTAAAATTAATAGTTTTGCCACAAATTCCAAAATACCAGTTTCCACCCCTTATGACTTTCCCTTTTTTTGTTGGCTATAATGGGTGTTAACAGTGCTCAAAGATTTGGGAGCTGAGTCGTGGATCTTGTACTGAGTGTTGTTTGAAGGGGGCGCCAACCTGTCTTAAACCAACTTGCCCAATGACAGGTAATCGGACAAGCTCATAACGTAATGCAAAAATCGATCCTATTATTAATTTATTTAAACAGGTAATTGACTCGGTAGGTAAGTATAACTTGACGATGATATCGATAACGTAATTTTTGTGTTTCAGATGAATGATCATTCAACGGACTTCAATATTGGACTGATAACTCTAAATAACAATTGACAATTTAAGGACAGCACAACATTATCAATTAATTCTAGGATGGACAATTAATAATAGACAAATATGCTTAATTTAAACAAATAAACTTGACATCTCCTTTCAAATTTTGTTATCTCAAACCTCAGAGCATTGTGTGAAGGTATCAAAGCACGTACATACAGGTGGACGGTGGGATGGCGGCTTATCACCATAGCATTAAAATCTTATCATCAGGAACAGCGCTTGGTATTCCGCAGTTACTTGTGCAGGTAATAAATTTGCGTCCCACGTGACGTCAGGGGCGGCTACTATATATTCTTTCCAATTTCCAGTACTTAGGGGTAAGAGCCCTAAAAGGTAACGCGTACGCTAATATGACGAATATTCCGAATTAATAACTTACTTAAGGTGACAAACGCGAGGACAAACGGCTCTTGAAAGAATTTTAGACAACCATTGAAATGTAGATTAAGTTATTGCCTAATTAGGTTTGTACCGGAATAATTGCACGTAGTATAGGTAGGTAACCAAAATCCTAAAATTATTTACTGTCAATAAATTAATTTTACATTCAGTAACTCACGCGTTATTTTCGCTACCTAGCCCCACTGACTTAAATAAGTCTCGAATCACAACGTTAATTATTATGTCCGTGGGAACGTTTCTTTTCTACGACCGCCATTCGCCTTTTTCTTGGTCCCGCTCAAAAATCCCTCTTATCATAAGTTGTGTATACATGCATGCGCTCTTACATCAGACATAGTGTCCTCTATCGTTCCCGCCTCATTTAAAAAGAATAAATTGTTCATAAACATAATCCACAATTAACCGAAAGTTGTGTATACATGCAACATCAGACATAGTGTCCTCTATCGGTTACACTATTTAACCGTTCCCGCCTCATTTAAAAAGAATAAATTGTTCATAAACATAATCCACAATTTCTGCAAATTTAGAACGCTACACCCTTTTAACCCCCGTGATTTCACCCGCGGAAAAATTCAGCTGTTTTCATTATTTTTTCCCAATTTCTATTCATTTCACCAGCATGAAACACCCGGTTTGAACCGGTAACTAATTTTAGCATTGGAAATGCTTATGTTTTGTATGGGTATGAATTTACCAGGTTTGCCGAGTAGAAAAGAAGACAATTGGTGTCGGCGTCTAGTGTTGATTGTACCGTACTCGACTGCAATCGGTAGATTCAGGAAAAGTCGCGGACACTGTCGATACGGTACTTACTTAACAGCGCGCAGGGGTTTTGTTAATTCGAATTTAAAATTCTTGCACATCGCCCGTGATAGTACTACAAGCATGTACGCCACTTATTATTCAGAAAGTGTATGTTCGCGACACGAGCGAGTGGAGCAAGATTATTCCGTGTGAGTAAGGGTTATTTATGGCTTTATAGGTTATACAGTTATCATTTCCAATGTCTCCGATGGTTGCAAGGATTGCGAAATCTGTGTATTTTATTGTAAGAAAATAATATTATATAGCCTGGACTATAAAACAAGGTAGCGCTCGCATAAATACACGTTTTAAAGCTCTATATCTCACTTAATGTTTGTCGTACAGAAAATTCCCGGTGAGGAAAATGATAGCAATTAAAAATGCTACAATTGGATGCTGTAGCAATTTTTACGTATCTCCAGTTGTTTTGTAGTTATTTTGAAGAGGACATTTTTCACAAAATTGCAAAAATTCGTTATTCAGATTTAGCTTCAATGATTTCAAAATTAAGTCGTCTAACCTGGTCACACTTCTAAAATGTAGCAATTTTTTATTACATCAAAGAAAACTAGAAAAGAGGAAGGACTAATTTTAATTAGGATCACTTTAAAATATGAACCTCACTATATCAGTTGTTCAGCATCAATATGAAACCCAATATGCCCCATGGACACTAAAACCAGCCAATTTTAATCTACAACTGGCCCAATACGATAAAGAAAAAACCTCAAATACCATAATACAAAATGATTTCCTACAACTAAAACATGTACGGTTTTGGTCAGAAGTAATGTTCCTCGATTATCTCAAGTGTAGCACATAATTAATATACCGGATCTCCTGTGAGATTTGAGCTTCTTTTCAACATGAGGAAAATGCCTAAGATTGAAATGAAATTGAACTAAATCACGGAGAAACTGACACATTGGTACTTTTTCTACAGTTGCAGTTTCTAAGGGAGGACATTACTTCTGACCACGACTGTACATATACATGAACCACAAATTTATCTACACAGACGGATCAAAGCGAAACTCTCAAACTGGCGCAGCACTAGTAATGGATTCATCAAACCAACAATTCCACCTTCCCAACTTTACATCAACATATCCAGCAGAAGCATTTTGTGTCATGAAAGCGGTACAGTCCATAAATCAAGCAACTAAAAATAACTATGTAATATGTACAGTGTCCCTAAGTACCATTCTAAGCATTAAATCCACATATCCCACTAATCCCATCATTCAGAAAATACAGGAGAGTATCCATAAATCACTCACACAATCCAACCATCCTTTGGGTACCATCTCATTCCGGCATTAGAGGGAATGAAGAGGCAGACACCTTGGCAAAAGAAGGAGCAACTCTAACCGACATACTTCACCTCCCTATACCATCCAGCGATCTCGTTAATACAGTCAAACAAAAAATGAAAGAAAAACTACAATACCAATGGAGTCAAACTACCAATAATCAGTTAAGGAAAATAAAACCAAGCTTAAAACCATGGAAAATGAATGGCGCCAGAAGAGAAAGAGTAGCGGCCACAAGGCTTAAGGATCGGTCATACCCTCTTGACACACGACTTCATCTTCCAAAAAATTGAGTCAACGCAATGCACCACATGTGATACTCGACTTACCATTGAACACATACTGACTGAATGTAGAAGCTTCGACCAACAACGTATAACATGCAAACTACCGCCTACCCGCACGGAATGTCTAGGAAACGACAACATACATAAAGCCCTAACCTACCTGAAAACCATCAACTTGTTCGGCAGACTGTGAGCAACACTTCATGTACCTACCAATGTGAATTATGTTTAACTATCATTTACATCATTACCTCTACTGTACTCACCATCATGCACAATGTTCATAATGTTATCTTTCTTACCACATCATATTGCATAAACTAGTGTACCCATGTATTGTACTTACCAAGCCGGAGCACCAATAATCTAAGTAATTGAGGGGCTCCTAAATATATGAAAAAGAAAAAATATAGTTATTTATGGTATAAGTGTGTTATATTACAAATAAGTCACGCGAGAAAAAAGTAAGCCCACGAGGCCGTCAGGCCGAGTGGGGTTATTTTCTCAAGTGACTTATTTGTAATTAACACACGTGCACCATACAAAACTTTATCCAACACCTCCTCAAGCTGGTTTAAAACGTGGAAATCTTAAAAACTGCGTGTTCCGCGAAAAGCTAGAGTGCATGGAATACAAAAGCAATAATTCGTTGCTATGGGGAATAATAAACAACAAAAAATTTAGTCAGAAAATTTATATGGATTTACTTATGGTTCCTGTACTTTATCTTGCTAGTGAGTTATTTTACGTCCATAACTCATTAGTGGGTTATATTATACCTTACTCGTTTAATTTCGTCATGATAATGACTGGATAACATAGAGGTGTTGGATAAAAAAAATTATCTGCATACTGGACTATCACAATTATACGATAATACGATACGATAATAAATTAAAAATATAGTGACATTGACTGGTGCTAAATTTTGGTATAATTAGATACCATAGCTTTCTTTCACTTATCTACAAAAACGACGTTTGAACTGGCAAAGGTCTTAATTTACATTATATTTCCTAATCCGTATTATGTTTTATTACATAAACCAACAAAACGCCTTAATTTATACAGATGAATAATTAAGCGTAAAACAATTAAGTTTGCGGAAATGCATAGAAGAATTTTTGTAGGCAGTATGAATAACTAGTGTTTACTTTGTTTTTTCGCATTACACAACTTTCGTGTCGTATTTTTAAACTGTTACGTTTCATGTTGTCACGAACGATATTCAGATTAGTATTGTTTTAATTGTACCGGAAAGCATGGAACATTTCTATGTAAACTCAGGGTTTTGTATAATTCTGATTAAGCCGAATTTAAATATCACGCTAAAATAAATGACGACATGTAACATTATTGTTAAGTAAGGGTAAGTAACTTCATTAGTACTTTTCATATGTAAATAAATCTTATACTTGTAGTTTAAGAAGGTGCATAGTATGTAAACTTTGGCTGTCGTATTTCAGTATCTTTGCCCAAATGAAATTCAACTGAGACTGTGTAGGAAGCTAAGGATTCTGATGTAGTTGAGAAAATGAGTTTTAGTAGATTGGAGGACATTCCTTTACATCGTCAGTATGGAAAGTGCGTATTTGGGCGCTCTGCTATTTTGTAATACTAATACTAAACTAAAACTTCCACTGTTTAGAGGGTCTACACTACTTAGCACACATCTCGATAAAATTCGCGATTTAGACCAAGAGATGACGACAGATTTTGTACTATGACTATGATTAGTAAACGCCTGTCACCGCAATGTTCTTTTTACATAGGTTAGAACTAGCGTATAAACGCATATCATACGTCTGTTGAACGGCCCAATCTATTTTTACCAGAGACTTGCTATAACTAGACTGCGCTTAACGTATCTAAGGTGTTGTCGACACAGTATGCAACACACAATGCACCGCGGGGCAAAAATCGCTGAGATGATATGCTGTTGATTTTAGATGTTCCGTTCATTAATCATTCTCGTGATTAGCTCGAATTAGTGAACAGATAAATTTCTGTTGAGAATAAACCAATAAACTTAGGTTAACTTGTGCCTATCAACATGTACTATGTCGATAAATTTTTAAATAATATAAAAGTTTATAGGGGCCAATGGATCAGAGCCATTCGAAGAGAAAAATTTACTCCCACCATAGTGCATTTGCGGGGAATGAAGCCGATTTTAGAAAGGTACCTACGAAGGTGTTAAACAATAATGCAATACCGAGCGTTTTCGACTTTCCCATTCACTTAAAATAACGTAGAACTATTATTAGACATCCTTTACCAGCAAGACAACGGCAATACCTATTTGCCTATTAGGTATAGACGTAACTAAGTACTTACTGGTACTAAGTATATTTCAGGTTTTGTTACAAGAAAAATAGCTAAGTCTGTGAAATGTTCCATATGTACAGATGCGATATTCGCATCAGAGAGTCATTCAAAGCTTTTAACTAGAAAAAATCGTGGAGGATTGTTGCACGTATCAAGCGATGCATTAAAAATTTGCCAAATTGCTGAAAATGTGTTCAGGTTTTTCATTCAATCCACACCACACCGCGTTGTAAACAAAATGGTTATCAGCAGTCTAAGAAAAATAAATAACAGTTACAGCCCATTTGGGTTTTTGGATAACCATATATTGAATCAAAATCCGCTAAATAATCATATCTTACTACTTACATCTTTAGTTTTAAGAGTATATTTTCCCATACGTGTTCACCACCAAAATACACATATAAATCAAATTAGGACTAGAGTAAGGCAGTTATATACCAATTTAGTTCAAATAAAATACCAATAAATTCGATTAAAAGAGTTAACAGCTATATGTTATCTTTTTTTGCTATTGCTATTAAAATTTAGAATAAACATGGCTAAAGCAAGCTGCAGAACGTACGTCTGCCCCGCGATGAACAGTTGGTTGCCTATCCTATCTTGACAACAGGCGTTTATAGTAAAATCTACGTTACGCGCGGTCTAGTTATAACAAGTCTCTGATTTTTACGTATTTTTTCAAATTTTGACAACACAACAAAAAAAGTTTATCAATAATCGTATGCCATTAACACATTTAATATTAATACATTTGATATTTCATATTGACAGTCTATGCCAATCCTCGTGCCAATCAACAATTTTTGAAAAATAATAATAATAAACTTACAACGAAAAGCGTCTGTCAATGTGCTAGCGCCCCATTATCTCCAATATTATTTAAAAAGAGCGACATGCTCACGGCTAAGTACCTATAACCATCGGGTCAATTTTTCCTCCAATTTAAAAACCATTACTTTGTCATTATTTACACGTTTGAAGAAAAAATACCATAGGAATATAAATTATGCTCTTATGGATTGCAAAATATAACATTTTTAAAGTTAGTAACATGCCATATATCATTTTCAGTGTAATGGATAACTAAATTATTATCACAATTAATTAAGGAACTTAATTTTATCGAGTACTATTGCACTCTCCGATGTACGCTTTCTAATATTCGTTCTAGCTTTGCAAGTGTTACCTCTTGCTAGATCGTTAAGATGGAAAACAGAAAAACTTAATTGGTTAACTCCTTCAGAAGGAAGTGGTGGTCTCTAACAACATTCGCGTTTCAATCTCGATCATAACTTACCGAAATGGCAAAGATACAGAGTAGGTGTTAATGTTCACAAATTACCTAAATGTAATCACACATAACCCTGAAGGGGCAAAATTAAGACGCTAAAGAGTTACGGAAGTTGTCCCTTATGAGGATCGATCCTTGATATTAAATCTCGTTCATGACCCAGTGACCCATTTCACAGCAAAATTACCGCTTATTGTCAACAGGTGGAAAGAAGAATCAAGGGCGTCGGCATTCGCAGGCAACAGTGAATTTAACCCAAGGTTACAAACTCGTACATCGAACAAGAATCATAGGTACTGTAAAACGTATCCGGAAGTTAAACTGGTACTTAAACCCTAAAAAAATATCAAGTAACCACCCTTCTATGATGAGATAAAATTTACCAACAATAAATTGTCGATGGAAATTGCAGTACAAAAAATAACAGTCGAAACATAAAGAAGGTACACTCTAAAACAACTAAATGCAAATGGCGGTACTTACGATAAAAAGGAAAGAACGGAAATGTATATCCTACTAGGAGCACAGGCTAATCTCGTCCACTATAATTACTTCGGAATTCCCAAATTATGAATCCAATCGCCAGAGGTCAATATGTTCGGAAGATGGCAATTAGAATTCCATGCGTTCTACGTTACGCTTTCAGCGCTGGAAATTGGCGCGACAAAATTGCGTGGTTAACTTCTATCAGTAGGTGGAGCCATCTATCAAATCGCCTTAAATATTACGTGCGCTTTCGACAAGTAATAAACAATAAATGATAATAATGCTTCGTAATGGAGAAAACAATTTTTTTTCTTTCCAAAATTTCCTAATCAAAAACGAATGTTGGCAAGTAAATATCTTGATTATTGGGATTCTAACAAAAGATTAGCACTTCGGTTAGTTCAATTTAACAAACATATTTTAGTTAACATTAACTTTTTAAATAATTTTAAACAAAATAATCAAATTCAAGGGATTTGGTACTCTTGTTTGAATTAACCAAAAACGGATGAGTTGTGATTTAAATTTAGCAAGAACGTTTGACAATTATTGCGACCCCTTATAATTGTATACGCTGTCTTAAGTATAAAATAATCAATACATGACTTATAGTATAGGTAAACATTGTCAACATGTGACTTGTTGATCATGTAATTGAACTGTTAAGTCGCTAAATTATAATTATACCGAATTACACTTAAAACAGCATGTTTGGTGGATATATGTATAGATAGAAGCTACGTTTGCAATGCAAACCAACTAACGCACAAATACTTTTGAGATGCAATCAATCGGAATAAAAATAGTTGCTGTTAAGAAATTATGTAGGGCACAGTAACTCTAACATTTTTTATTTCGTTATAAACCCAAACATTAATTTAATAAGTTGTACAAGTTTCCCTATCGATTCAATACCGGGTTTCCTCAACTGCAAACTTTCCTGAAGTTGTGGCCAGAAACCTTGTTTTTGTGATTGTCGGCAGCTAACTTCATGATGCTCTAATTGAAAAGGCAAACTTAATCCAGCTAAAGTGCCAAACACATTTTTTATTAATGTTTCATAACTTATTGCCTTTATCGGAAAACAAAAAAGGCGTCGAAATTCTATATGGAGTGACTAAAGGTGACGAAACGTATCCAATCGACCAAAGAAACGAACTAGCACTGAAATTGTGTTTCTAATTTCATGGATGCGGTAATTCCTTTGACATACAATGGAAAAATTGCTGATGTACACTCTTCCAGTTTTAGCGATATTGACTTTTTGTATAAGATACTTACAGTTCTTAGGCAAATAGTTTTTCAATTGGGCTGTACTTTCTGTCTACTGTATGAGTACAGAAATTATGCATGCGTGGTATGGTACCGTCTTGCAAGGACGTTGAAATTAAACTTTTATAACTGTTAAGGGCGTTAATTTATATAACTGATACTAATCTCGACTTTAATTAAAAAACTTTTATCCAAAACGTATAAATGTTCTACATTACTTCGTTTGAAACTCGCATTTTAAAACTATATTACCTAATTATCAATAACAAGGGTTGAATATAAACTAAAAGGGTATAAGCTCGCCGACGCCAACACATTTTTGCTATTGGCGCCATATGCTAGGTCAAACGTAAAACAACCTCCCAAAGCTACTGCTTATTGATTTAATCGCAGAAATGTGTCTTACCCCAATATTTCCTCCCTATTTCTGCTTGGTGATATATTTTCCTTGTTAATTTGTCTTTGTAGTCATTTCTGAGATGGGAGATATAGCGGAATTCCACATTCTAAAGTCTTCCTTAACGCTGGGATTTTATTTTCTCCTTTATTTGAAAATAAAATCCAATTTGACGGATTTTAGAATTTTGTGTTATCGTGACATATCTTCGTGTCGTGATCTCAAATTATTTGTTCTCCGACCGACTGAATAAGACCCTTATCACATTTCTTTAAAAAAAGTAGGCATTTAAGTCAGTGGTGTGACCCTCATTTAGGTATGCTGCTATTTGTAAACAATGTCTTTGGATACCTAAGGAAGTCTCGTGAAAGACAAGTATCCATTTTTTTTACTTATGAAAAAGTATAGGGGAGATGAAAAGTCAGTCAGTAGTTGTCTCAAATACGAGTATCTATAATTTGCGGTAGGTTACCTCTATGTTGACATGAAGAACTGAGATTTTCATATTTACAGGGGCTAAGAATAGTTTTCGTTAAATACCATGGCTGTCACAATAAGTACGAAATCATATAGGTAAGGAGCAAACGTATATTGGCTTCTAACTAGGAATCCGGACCGGACCGAAAAAGAACCGAAAACCGGACCGAAACCGGTATTTTTTTCAGGACCGAAAACCGAGCAGAAACCGTTATTCGCTTATTTCTTCAGAAATGGAAACTTATTGAGAACCGAAACCCACCAAAATGCGAATTGCAGGGAATGGAACGTGGGAAGTGGGTACCGACAAAGGGAATATGGTAGCCCCCGACGAGATCTTATTCAATCCAATTTTCGCGTCAAAAATTCGCACGTGACGTAATACGCAGTAGAAAGCGGGTTTGAGAAAGGTAATGAGCATCTGCCTGTGCCGTCCCTGGTGCCGTCTATACTTGAGTATGGCTCATCGATGTATATCGTAATAATTAGTTTACTGTTCACTTTGTCTCGTACAGTCTGACACATACTACAGTTTGTTAGAAAAGGATGGCAATTCACAATTTGAGTCTG